TTCCGTCTGTTGCGCATTTTGCAGGTCCGTTGTCATTTGACATGCGTGATTTTTAGTGGACCTTCGGTCTGGCAATGGTGTGCAGACTCCCATATCCCCAGTGATCCGACTTGAAGCCCTGTTCACATGCTTTTTTCGGGCCGACTTCCTTCATCCTAAAGAGCACCTGGACATCACCTGGTCCCTTCCTTTCGGCTTCCTTAGCTCGAAAATCTTCAAATGTACGTTCAGGAATTTGTGTTCTTTCATGTAAGGAGTGGGCCGTGTTGGGCAGGTTGTAGCCAGGCTTGTAGAGCACGTTCGCTGACAGCCCAGTTAAGAATCGCATCGTGTGGCAATGACGCAACTCCATGCAAACTTCACAAACTGTCCTGTCTAGGCTTGGACAACCTGGCGGCATCTCAGCCATCGTGCTCCCTTCGGGTGGCATGAGAGCTTCGCACCGGAGGGGTGCTACAGGCGTTTATTTACTGCTTGTTTATATTAACTTTGAAGTTCGCGTGTGAAAGCCGGGAAGTGCAGTCGCCCAAATCCAGACACGAAAAAGTTTGACCGAAGCATCATGCCTTCCGGAGCAGTTTGAGAGTGGATGAATGTAAAGACCTCGTTAATGCACCATCCTCTTCAATAGTGGACCGTTTTCTTGTCCGAATTATTCTGCTTCTCGTGTCTGCTTCGTATCTTGCAATTCAAACAAAGTTGGGAACCAATGGATTTTGTTCATTTTGTGAGCTCACTCTTTTCACCAATAGACAATGAATTGGATTTCTTCGTATTCCGCCTGAGATACTTGAATTATTGACGTTTGAACAATCGTCCTCTTGTTCTTGCGCATTCTGGTGAGTCCACATCAAAGGAGAGAAGCACTGGACTTGACTTTCGCTCTTGTTAGAGCTCATCAGCAGTGTCACGTCCTTGGCTATGCCGCGGTTTGAACTCCACACATCTGACATACGAGTCCATCAGCGCACACTGGACCCACCTGGAAGCAACCAGGATGCATGTTAAACGTGTAGAGTTCAAACCCCGACGCAGTCAAGGGTATGCGTGCACTGCTGATGAGTTCGTATAAGAACCAAACTCCCCTTTAGTGTGGACTCATCAGAATAATTACTCCAGGATAGGAGAACTACTGTTCAAACAAGAGTGATGTGAACGTGAATACTACGAATCCTGCAAATGTTTACAACGACACCAGTTATTCTCATCGGTGTTCTTTATTTCCTCTTTGCTGCTTACTGGTTGACTTTCTCCTACGAACATGAAAGACGGAACTTTGTCTCTTGAGGGAATTGACGATGAAGAACTGGACCAGGTGAGGTCACGTGCTTTTGCGTCATAGATGATTTATTCACGCTTTAACCACTTGGGCCATCTCGTCCCTTGTCGCACTATATCGACCTGGAAAACGCACCACTAACGTGCTCTATTCATCTCCAACTGTTTGCTCGAACTGAGTGAAGATTTCTCAGACCAAAGGCAGTCCATTCTGTCTTTCGACCGATCGATCTCGTTTTCATTGGCCCGGTGGAGCTAGCCACTGATTTCCGCATTTGGTCTTCACAAGGCCAAATCAAGTTGTTGTTTTGTATGTCCATGTCTGTCATATTATCTTCACTACAATTTACCTGAATTAGGTGTCACCTTTGTCACAGTTAGGCCAATCGCTGGCGTAGCTACCCGATCCGTCCCCAACTATCTTACTATTGATGCTTCGTTCACTGGCTCCCTTACGTGTCTGTCGTTCACCTAACGGAACCATCCTCTAAAATGCCTTACTTGCAAATCCCACAGGACCGTATCAAGATGGCTGACGTGATATGTCACGTCGAAATAAACAGTCCCATGCGAACCGTACTGATCATGAGAGATGAATTGCTGTCAAATAAGCCAGACCCAGACATATGCAACCACGAACAATGCCTCCCAATAACTCTTTCCTTAACCTCTCTGTTACCCGTAATTTCTGTTCTTTTCATCAGCCTTAAAAAAACGGGGTGTTAGTAACGTAGCCATCTTTCGTCCGTTTGAGCATGTTGCCCTTGAAAATCGAATGGCACTCATCTGATATGCACTGGTGTGGCGCTACCTTCATACGGCTTCTTGTTCATCATAGACCCATTCGATGGTTCTCATATACGCTGTTGGTATAACACTCCGTAATTCAACCGTAATTAATCATCTTTCGGGAAAGCTCAGATTGTCTTTCACCTCGAGGATTCTTGCCCGAACGTCCGACCCGAGATAAGGTCGGAATGAGACAAGGCCACAGAGAAGTTATACACGAATTTTCATGACGTTCACGGCTATCAACTGCCCTTTTTGTCAGTATTCTGAGAAAAACAATCGAATTATACCAGATTGCTTGAGCTTTCTGTCACTGCTGCGCAAACCGCATACCTGTTTGCATTTTTACCCAGTCGTGTGTGGAAAAGCAACGTAGTTTGTTGGACCACCCTGGGAGGCTCATCATAGAACGGAAAGCCCCGAGTTAGAAACGCCTGATTTATATGGGTTGGCGCCCTGGTCAGTCATTGTTCATCTTCTGGTTCGTGGCTTTTTCGCCTACTCTTGCCCACTCGTTGCGGCGTTCGGTTACTGTATTGTAGTTAGACAGATAATCTATATTCCACCCTCGATCCCGAAGAGAGGCATTTCCCCAAGTGAACCACTTCCCTGTTAATCCGTAGGCCCTTTCCACAGGTTATTGTTGTTTTCGCTTTGATAGGTCAACCGTTCATATGTTCACCATCTTCCGTTCTCTCTCTGTTGCTTCGCTATTCTTCACAGATTTGGTCTTTCAATGTTTCCGTGTAGCCATCATCTTACTATCGTGGTGGCATAGGTTGAACAAATGACGCGAGCTGTGTTCAGCTGCGTCTTGCTTTGTTTTGAATGAGTAGAACCCAGTCCATTTCGCTTCCGGTGATCTAAAGTGTCTCCTGCTTGATTAGTGGGATACTTTATGAAGGAGGTGATTCACATTCCTAAAAGTTTGAAAACATCTTCCCCTTAAGGTATCCTTTATATGAAGGTCTCTTATTAGCCCGGAATGGGCGAGAACTGGGAACCGTCAGAGTAGTTGTTGTCCTCCATATGCTTCTGGATGGTCTTTTCGCTTGAAGAAGGAGATTGGCGTATTCGTGATCGCATTAATTCGCATGAGTAACTGTATTAATATATGGACTGTTCTTATCTACCCCCCACCCCTGATCAACTCCATTAGTAGATTCACCCGACCCGTCTTATTATTTCCTTTTTGTCATCAGGAATACATTCTTCATCCACGTGAAGTAATGATCAAGGCGGCCATCTGGTACAAAGCGAATGCGGAATATCTGCAGAATGCTCGTCGTGAGTCCCCACACAAACGTATCTTCTATCCATTTCCAAAGTGTCATTCGTGGGCGATTTCTGGCTTTCTAATCGAAAGCTTCATCTGACCGGATCGGGACACTTCATTGTTCGGTCCGGTTTTGAGGTGGTACAATCTAGCTCTACTTGGTGGAATCAACTTTTCTACAGTCAGTTAGCTGCTCCTCGAATGTGATTACCTCAGGCCAATCGGTTCAGTTCAGCAGCTTAGCTAACCATGTGTACCTAGACTCGCTTCATATCACGCCTCGGGTGGTCAGAGTATACTACTAGCAAGCAATGGTCCACAATTAATGTGACTTTAGATGGAAACTTGTAGTTCGGTTGTATGATGAGAAAGCGTACGGCAGCTTCAACTCAAAGAGTATGGTCGCGCGGCTCCTGACTTGCACCGCTGTCCCTAATGTAGAAGTACATATTTGACTAGGCAGGACCTTGACAGGCCTTCACCGCAGCGTTCACGTCAAGTTCGCAATCAGAAAGTGGGTTACAAACTACCCACTCGTGGCCGAACGGTGTAGTTTCCACCTACCAACCAGGAGGTTGTGGGTTCGAATCAGGCTAGGGATTCTCGAGGTGCACGCTGCTGGTGATTCCAAACAGAGCTGGAATAGCTCCACGGTGCTTCTTGGCTTTTTAGCGCAGATTGACTTTATTTGTTGGATGACACTATCAATCATGCAACCAATGAGAAGGATCTCAGCTGAGACTGAGAATTCCGAAGGCCTCCCCAATTCAAAGTTCACTGATAACCCTGTCTTTACGCATCAACTACCATCTCCAAATCATCGGTGAGCGAAACCGGTAGCTATAATCACTGTACGACAAGTGCGCGGTTCTTACAGCTGATGATGGTAATGACATCGCCCCTTTCGGTTAAGGCTCTGTCTACTCAGACTTTCTCTTTTTTCCAGGAAAGCATCTCGAAAAGTTGAGACGAGCTGAAGAGGATGCCAAGAATCCTCCGAAGAAGCGGGTGAGTCACGGCTCACTTGTATTATTAGCGGTCTCTGTACTGTGCTCCTTTGTGGAACATTTTTCGTATTGGGATGTTCTGGCTCTGTTGGCTTTGCGCACGCCTCTGAGGAACGAATCCGGCCACAAAGTGAACGATGTGGCCAATGGTGTGTGTCTTACTTTTCCGACATGATCCCTCTTCCATTCATCCTTATGGTGAGACCATGTGAACATCCACTTGTCCTGCTTAGGATGATGTCGAAATTGATGGCGCTGGGAAGGTCATCCGCTCTGCTCCCCGGCCATGTAACTATTCGGCTGCTTTACATTGCGGTGACTTTATTAGCCGCGGATCTGAACCAGATTTGTGAATAGCCAGGCTTTTGCTTTTCTGAATTTGCTAATCACAACCGAAAGGATTACTGAGTTAAGAAAAAGAGATAAATGCATAGAATGATGATTCTTCATCTATCCTAACATTATGTTCCTTTTTCAACTCATGAAACCGGACCATGCACCGCTTCCACGTTATCTGACTCAGAGGCATGAAATTCCGGGGCCACGTCCACTCAACACTTTGAAAGTCCCTCACTTTCACTCCTGAAAATGGTTATGCTAGGTTAGGTTCACAGGCTTGTGGTCGTATATTCACTGCTGACTGTTGCATTCATCTCGCTAACCAGTGCGCTCAATGTTTTCACAACCATGCTATTGGTCGGCCACAATTTCTGCGACTACACTTTAAACGAGACTCCGCAAATGAAGTGGAAATCATTCAGCTATAACACCCTTTCGGTGCTTAGTTTCCACATCACCTGAAGAAAGCACGAACGCTGACAAACAGCCAGGTTATCAAAGCCCAGACGGGCAATTGAGGTACCGAGGTGAGATAGCGTCCTAACCACTGAGCTACCTCGAACGTAGACAACTGCCGGTAAACGTCTGAATAACATGGTCTTGTTGGCGAGGAGTGTATCTTCATTAAATGGACTCTCGGGTGCTATTTTGCCTATTGCCCACGTGATCTGCAAACCCGCTACCAACCGTTTGAAGGAGACTGCAAGCTGTTATTCCTGTCTAGCGTTTTAAACTCCAGAGTCAGGCAAAATTGCTTTATTCTTACTCGACTCCACCACCAAGCCTAATACAGCCAAGAGTCGGTATTTTTCTTGTTTCCTTTCCTGCTATTAATTGTTCTAGTATTTTGGAAGGTTATCCTTCTGACTTTTTGACAGCATTTACTGCTGATTTCTGTTTTTCCACCGAGTTGTACGACACGTTGTTAAATGTTCTTCATCAGTGATCCACCTTTGATAGGAATCATTCAGGTAATTGAGTGTCCTACTAGTATTCAAGGTAATCCTTACGGGTTTCTCCATTCAGGTGCTTGATGTGGTTCTATTATTGGCCTTGTCATTGGATCCTTTGGTTCACCTAACTCATTGTGCCAATTTTTCGTTTCCGCAATCTTCACTGCTGTGCAAACTGGGCTCGCTTATGAAAACGCGCTTGTAACACCGTGCATAATTTCGAAATCCCCCCCCCCCATGTGTATTGTTCCAGGCTCGTAGAACTGGCAGTCAGCGACAACCTCGGCCGATGAACCGATACGGCAGTCGAGAGAAGTTCGAGGTCGTGTCTGAGGAGTCGGAGGACAAACCATTCTCCCGAAAGATCAACTATGAGGCTCTGGAAGCTCTTGTGGGCGGGACATCGGGGACACAGACACTGGCTTCCATCGAGCCAACTTCCGTCTCCATACCGTCCGAGCCTTCTGGTCCAATCAGACCAGGCCCTTTGTTGGCCTCAACCTTAGATTTGGAACCCAGTACATCTGCGCCCAGTGTTCTCAAAGAACCGGAAAAACCATCGGGAACAGCACCCGGAAAGAAAGTCACGTTCTCCGACAGTGTCATCTCTTCGTCCTTCAGCTCAGAAATCATTTCTAAGGATCCTCAACCTCAACCTACTGCTGGCCCTTCTTCAACCACAGATACTCCTCAGGAACCAGCAAATCCTGTAGTCCCGACGAACGAGGACGAAGAGGAGGAGGAAGAAGTCGAAGACGGTGCGTTGGATGATTACTACCAGGACGACGAGGATGAACTCAGCTGGCAACAGGGTGATGAGCTGTGGTAGCACTCTTTTTATTTGCATTTGTCTTTGTCTTCTTCATAACAGCATATTGCTTAATTCCCTTCTTTCTTGTAAATATGAATAAATGTCAAGTACCTTGCTCTGTGGAGTTCAGTTCTCAGTTCTTCGGGGTCTTCGTTCTTCAGTTAGCAGATAGCTCAGTGGTTAGAGCGTGAGTTTACTGACCGGAAAGTCTTGACAATATCCCAGCCCTCGTGCTCCCTTCGGGTAGCATAGCAGTTAAGCACCGAAAGGATGTTACAGCTGAGCGATCTTCAGTTAACACGCTAGGAGAGTCATCTGCAACCTCAACTACCGTAATTGGGTGAGCCGGCAAAGCTTCTAGTTCTGTTATCGTTTTTTTTGTGTGCTCGTCTGTCGTACAATCTGTGGAAGTACTGGATGTTGCTAAGCTCTTCGAGTCAAGAGGAAGCTGAAACTGTGGAATACCTGGTTGGATGCTCTCGCTCCAGCATCAGAGCTGTATGGAACATTTCACATGAGCCGTAAGAGTTGCGGGATTTGTGAAATTCGCGCACACGTTCTTTGAGTAGTCTTTGATCTGTCTTGATCAGTCCATACCAAAGAACAAAAACACTGAACCCGAGTTTCGTTCTTATGTGGGCTAACCGACCGGCACGTGAACATTGAACGTGTGAACTGAGCGCGTCATCACTGCTCCGCCAGGGCACACTGGACAACCCTGAATTATCACCTCTAAACAGATGAGCGTGTTCGTGGTTAAGTGTTGAGATATTAGTTTCGCCTAACCACTCGGACGGTGACCCAACGACTGTCTCGGTTGTTCCATGGCTGATTCCCCCTGTGTACTGTTCGAACGTGGTGGTGGCTTCCGTAGTGCTTTTCAAATTCGCCTTTCACTTTGGGTTTATTGGTATCTTGTCTTCCAACGCATCTCCACGAATTCCACGTGTCATACGTGTAATTCATGGAGATGCGTTGGGGCGAGATGGCCCAAGTGGTTATAGCGCGAATGTACTGACTGGAAGGTCCGTGATTTGAATCCGACCTCCGCCTCTCGACTTCCCCTGTCTAGGCTTGGGCAACCTGGCACTATCCCAGCCCTCGTGCTTCCTTCGGGTGGCATGTCAGCTAGGCACCGGAATGGTGCTACAGCTGAACGCTTTCTTCTTTATTTCGTGTCATACGTGATGATCTGTAGTCAGCATCAAGTCCTGATGTATATGTTGGTCGGAGAAAACTACGCGGAAACTAATAAAAACTTAGGGCACCGGAAACACCGTTATTCCTAGTGGACGTTTGCCATACACTGTCAGAGGATAGATGCACAGACAATTTCGCTTGTCTTGATAAATCCCCTAATCATATCATTGCTTTGCCAGCATTTCGAAGACATTTCAGTGGCATTGCCAAATCGGTGTTATCTTGGCGATGGAAATCCAACTTCATGTAAGGATTGCTTAAACCCCACCTTCAATTGGCGGATCGGTAGCCTCGGATCAAACCTAGACAAATCCGTTTCTAAACAGTTCGAAAGTCATCCTCAACTCGGTTCATTTCCCGATAAATGTGAGCCCTTCCATTCCCTTCTACTACAAATGGTCATTCTGCGGTAAAACAAATCCTCGGACGGCGGGAAAATAAACTAGATAGAAGATGAGGACAGATTTTCCAGAGGAAGAGTATCCAACACTGAAACCTGATACGGAGCGCTGACTCTGGTCCCTTTAAGGGTCCTTTAAGAGGACTACCATTGGCGCTGGCCTCTACTAACGATAACGATTGATGACATAGAAAACAGAAGGGCGCGGATGATTGTGTTGGGAGGGGACTTGCACAGGTCAGATAAACTCTCAGTGGCCATACTTATGAACAGAAGGCGCCCGTCACGTAGAGACTGGACCTTACCATAGTGTAACAGTTTTGAACCTCCTTAACCTACTGAATTATACTGAGTAGTGTGTGTATGTGTGGCAGCCTCTTATAGCAGGTTAGTCAGTATTTTCATAGAGGAAACTACTAACAAGGTTGCTGAAAAGTTTTCGACACCTCACGACCGGTTTATCCCTTCTTGGGGCTCATCAGGTAGGCGCAGTCCCCGGGTTTCCGTCAGACGTATGTTCTGCTTGAACACAAATTAGACTGTTTTCGAGAAATACACTCATTTTCAAATCAATTTGGTTTTCACGAGATACTCAACTGAAGCTCTCGTTTATGATGTACAACTGAATGTGCTGCACACAGACCGCCTCATGTTTCAGTTGGCACGATATTCGAGATATCGCAGTGTATTTTCATGAAGGAAACTACTCACAAGGTTGTGGTCGTTGGCTTGTTCGCTGAGCTGGGCAATTCGATTGCAAATGTTTCATCACCAATCGAGGTGACATCATCAGTGCGTTATTGTGGAGCGTAGTAGTGCGGTTGGTGGTTGTCGTTGGGTAGTATTGTGCGTGTATTAATATACGTGCTTTCCGCCAGGTGCATGACAGCTCCAGTGAACAATGAAGTTTAGTGAGCCGCAAAAATATGAAGGTAGATTACGGTGGTTTTTGGTTTGAGCACATATACAACATTTTGGCGCAAAAGTTTTATTTCCATTCTAGGTATGAGCATTGTGCGGCCAATGGGCCTTGCACCAGANGGTTGTCGTTTGTGCGTGTATTAATATACGTGCTTTCCGCCAGGTGCATGACAGCTCCAGTGAACAATGAAGTTTAGTGAGCCGCAAAAATATGAAGGTAGATTACTGGTTTTTGGTTTGAGCACATATACAACATTTTGGCGCAAAAGTTTTATTTCCATTCTAGGTATGAGCATTGTGCGGCCAATGGGCCTTGCACCAGACAGTAGCGCAATGAATTGTTTGCAATAAACCTTCCAACCTCAACGAAAAACTCGACCGCCATCGGTTGACATTGTTGGTAAGATCGTTAAATGATTGGCGCTGATCGATCAGAGTTGCTATACTAAGAACAGACGCGTTGTTTCGGACCACTACTCCAACATAAGCTGTACGGACGCGCATAATCCGAGCTGCAGAGTGGACTTACTTATGGTAACAAAAGACAGATGTCGACTGGATGACGATATAACAATGGAAGATTTTACAAAATTCCAGAGAATACGGAAGGCGAAGCCCATCTTACTTTGAGTGGTAGGTGGACGAGAGCAGAATGGATGATGACTAAACCTTCTCCGAAGCCCTACTCGTCAAAAGGTTCCCCGTGATTTCAACGAAATTTCTGGCATCAGTAGAAGGTGTATTCTGAAATGTGCGTCTAAAGTGATGAAACGACAAGTGTACATTTCGGAAGGGAGACCAGTAGCAAATACGAACCCCGGTCTGTTGAAGCGGTCCACGATCTTAGCCATCGGACCAACAGCGTTTCAAATCGATTGAAATTCAGAAGAAGGCGGTGGTATTTATAACTGCTATATTTTTCAAGAAATCAAGAAAATGTAGCCCTGAACTGGGCCGTATTACCTCATCACTGAACTTGGTCCATCAGCCAAAAGAACTTCGATTTGGGTAAACTGCGGAGCGACGCAGTTCAGTTCAACAACCGGCTACTTGAGTGTGCAGCTCCAGTTGATCGGGTTCAGTTTCAACATGTTGCGCTCCGATTCCAACTCTTTCTGCCTTTCTTGGAGCCGGGCAGTCTGTCGCTCTTCACTGAGCTGCATTCGTTAAATAGAATAGAATTAGGTGAGTGTTACAACCGAAGACGAACTTTCAAGTGACAAATCCTACCATTGCCTTTTCACATCGTTCTCGTTGGAAGAGTTTTCTTCCTGTCCTGGCTTGATTATACTAGTCCGCTTAAAGTAACGGAAAAGGTGGACTTATAAGAGCTTGTAGTAGCGTGTACCACAGTTTTCACTCAGCTCTTCTCAATAGGCTGCCACGTTCTTAGTAGCTAAAGGTGTGTGCGTGTGTAAGTAGGTAGTTGTTATATCTGCTGATTCGCCGACCTGTAGTATCTGCTGCAAACCCGCTTCACTGCCTAGTTTCGGAGAAAAAAGACTCACAGAATGGAATACAACGGCTATGCTCCGAACAAGCGAGTGCGAGATCAAAAGTTACAGCGGCCCCACGCTATTTAAGGGGGACTTTCTAACATTGATCCAGGCTGTCTGATAGGCGTTAGTGGACACCCATCAACATCGATCGTGCCTCTATGGTATGCCTGAACGCTGGTCACATTCGGTCGTGCTACTGTGGCGTGCAAGAACACTCATAATCTTTTGCTGAATTGATTGAATGATTGACTGGCTTGGATTCTTGCCGGCTTCCCTGTTGAGATTTTAGTAGAGTAGTAATTTCCGAATGTTCTGAGGTTATTTTCAGGAATCTGACCTTCCTGATAGTTGTCCAACATGCAGTTGTGAAATAGTGTTGATGCGTTCCAGCTCGGCTGTGGCCTAGACTAGGTACTCTTTTTGGACAACAACGAAATTTGCGTCTCCCGCTGTAAAAGGCTACAACCCTCCAATACACGATGCGGATGCGCATGTGAATATCACTACCGCCAAAGTTTACAGAATTACGTCGCCAACGGACTGAAGAAATATTGATTTGCGTCCCCTTCAAATTTTCTCGAGCGGTGTTACCTTTGAGTCGCATTCCAGCGCAGTTTGCTCAAACATACGTGTAATATCCTGCTGGTTTCTGAACGGTGTCCAGACTCATCCTCTAGCCGCTACGTGATTAGCAGTGATCACTCACAGTGTCCAGATGTAGTTTGCCGGAGACAACTCATGGTTTACCACACGTCCTGTGTAACACATCTGTTTTTTTCGAGACTGAGAGTAGAGCGTATCTTAGTTTGTACGAAGAATTGAGCTCCAGTCGTTTGAACTGCAAGTCGGGTGCGCTGCAGTTGCCCTATCGACACACACTGAGCGAGGGTATGAACAAGATAACATCTTTGCAGTTCACTAATGCATGTAGCTTTCTTAACAATTTGCTCTGTAGTTAATGACCACTTTAGTTGCATGGAAGAACTATCGCTTTCCACTCAAATTGGTCCAAACGTTTTGCCCTGAGCTCGCTCTTAATGGTGAGTAACTGATATCGAAGTTGTTCCGGAAAAAGAATACTCTAGAATAAAATTTCTGAGGGTCACTTCCTCGGAGTTCTCCACTTGTTCAGCATTCAGCACCTTTCAACGTAAACTCGCACCCAGCTTGGCTCGAGTTCATTGTTTCTCCACTGGATTCTCGATTCGAGCGTTTACAACCAGCCTGAGCTGCCATCAGTCTTCTTTCTTCCACCAGAATTGTGCCGTCCGATTTTCCACAGGATTTGAAATGCTTTATTCCACAGTATTTTTTCCCGTAGGGAATGATAGACTGAATTGGTTTCCGAACATAGACTGACAGGCCTCTTTCGGGTATCCTGCCTCAACGAACTCCGGTCCTTTTTTCTTGCTTATCGGATAAGCATCTGAACTTTGTCGCATTCAACCGAGTACCCTTCTCTGTCCCCTAATCGAAGCCAAATGATATTGGCTGATGTCTTCTGCTTGATGGATTGTGCTGATGTGTAGAGTTCACCTCATATACCTTTCATTACATCGTAGCGATAGAGCATGCAAATAGAACGTTTGACTGGGTCCAATCACTTTCCCTTCCTGTTGACAGAGTCTCACGAGTGTCGCGAAGATCTTCCGGTTATTTCGATTCTTCAAGTATGAAGAACTTCTGCTCCCTCTCGATTATCACTTTTGTTGATGTGGTTGCATGGTTTCTATTTGATAAGCATCGGTGAAATACCATGGGTGATTTGGTATGTCTGATGAAATGGACTTTTTTGTTCTCCAAGAGGTCCTCAGACATCGCGAAGTTTGAGCGCCGACCCAACTACCCAGCTGCTATTCTGGTAGTTTCCATAAAACAGAAATGAAGTGTGTAACCTACGCAAATTGCATAACCATTGGGGCGAGATGGCTCACGTGTTTCGTGCACCAATTACTGACCGGAAGGTCCATGGTTCGAACCCGACCTCTTTCATTTAACTGTTGTTAGCGTGTGGAACCCCACTGAACCGTATCATTTGGCACATCATTTTGAAACAACTAAAGTCATGTCTTCCGATGCGCGTGTCTCAATCCACGAAGACATGGAAAGATATCACTTCTGTTGGGATAATGTTCACCTACTTGCTCGCTTGCAAGGAAGAAACGGGAGCAAAATTTACCCAGGCGTGATATTCCATACAAAAATCGATCAATAACCGCATCATCATCGACCCTGTCAAGCAGCCGGTACGAACAAAGGAACTACACATTCAAGGGTCTCTGAAGCACAAAATAATCAAGCAACCTGACGATAACCAGCGGACTGATGGGATGAATGAACGTAAGACACTAAAAATTGAGGGCCACTCAATCATACAACCAAGGAGAACAAATTCAGACCACAAAGCGAGAAGTAAACGGTCCAATCACATCGGAGAATTAGAACTGTCGAACCGAAGGCGTCCGACGGTCCAACCATATACAAGGGAATAAGAAGTTGACGTTATTCTTATTCCCAGGTGACCAATCAAATTACGCGAAGACAACCTCGAGACCAGCCAATCGCTTTAGAACTATCAGATACTGTTTGGAAACATCAGCACACGCAGGAGAGGTGGAATTTACCAGATTAACCTCGCGTGGACGTGTCGCCTCAATTATTTGCCATCCAACTGCTAAACTCGACAAACAGAGCAACAAACAAGCAGTGCACCAGAGCAGCCTTCATTCCTCAGTATTTCTTTAGGTTGTGCGGTCCTTCAAAGTTTGTGCGCCGAACCTAAATTTTTGCTAGTCCCTCGAATCAGGTGAACGAATATCATGAGAGCCAGGTATGCACGCCTAACTGTTTGAATAATTAGTTCTGTAAAGTATCAGAACAAAATACAGGCTTCACAAACCGTGCACCACTTGGTCCCGGCAGGCGCATCGGGTCATCGGACACAGTAAACTTTAGTCTGGTTTCCATAATGCACCTCGGTGGTGAAACCGCCATCTACATCCCACGATTTTTTCTATGCAAATCGATGAATACCTGTATTCTTTTTATCATTACAAGTACCTGACATGCCTAAGCAAATCCTTGTGTTTGTATAGTTTATACACCTTGTTCTTGATTTAAAAAATACTACTACTTGCCAGATTAGGAAAACGGACGGACCTTTCTGTTAGCATCGCGGAATTGGGCCAAGAAAATCTTCCGTTTCCTTGTAGCACTTGCCAATCGTTCGTCAAAATTCTTGCACATCTGCTCAACTGCTTTGGCTTCTACAGAACAGAACAGAATGGGTATTGGTCGATTTAGGTTGGACAGGCAACTTACCGTCTGCCTTGATTTTTGCTTCCTCCATGTTTTTTCTTGTAATTCGGTCAACCATTTGTTGTTTGAGACCATTGCGCAGGTAGGCTCTAGATTGAAGATAGCACTAGTTTAGACAAGGCAGATGACTTTGGGGGATGTTGTAATAATCCCGTTGGAGATCCAAACTGATTAGACTGAAGTGTTCTTTCAACCATCTCAACTTGGTGGTTAGCTGAAGAGCTTCATAACTCAGTAGGTAGGGTGGCAGTTGATGACATTTTCCAAAAGTGTTTGTCCTTTAGGCCGTCTGTAAAGGTCTGAACTTACCAAGTTTGATCAACCACTCTGTTTGTCAACTGTCCGACTCAAAGAAGGTCGGAGTCCTATCATCGTATTGGGTGATATTGCAAGGGTGGAAAAAATGCAATCGTTGGTGATCCGAATTCGACAATTTCTTCCACCTGCTTGAATTAGGACTAAACCAGGTTGCAACGCTCACAACACCGGGGAAACGACACTAACCGAGCCCCTCAAGGAAGGTTGTCGTCACATAACTCTTTCGATGTGGACCTTGACAGGCGCCTGCTTGCCACTCCGTATCGTCTAAGGAACGCTCTTAGGTGGTTCGATGGATATACAGCCTTCTAAGCTCACTGTCCTAACCCTGACAAAGCGATTGCATCGCGAGATCGATTTCACGAGTAATCCATTGTCTTTCACTCCGTAAAACCTGATAACCTGACAAGGAGAGTAAGTTCGAGAGTTTCGCGTGACGAGTCATTTCCATCTACTCTCATGAAATCCAGTTCAATCCTGGTGGAGTTCGAAATAGTATTTGACAACACTTCCGTATAAAAATATCCACCGTGAAATCCGGTAACTTGGTTCTATACCAGGTGTCCATTGATCTGTTTACTAAGCCTGGCATTTGGCTTGCTGGTCTTTTGCTACCAATGGTGGGGACGGTGTTCAGTTAGATGGTGATAAAACGCCTGCAAGTTGAACGCCATTCTCGACGAACAGATCAACACCCGCCAGATTTACAAACATCCATCGAGCTACCATTGCCAATCCGGTAGCTTTCATCCAACTCGTATCCAAATTCGCCTTCACGCCTCTAATCTGGTTAGTATTATCCGGAAAAATAAGTGTATTTCTACTCGCCTTGGTGTGTGTCGCAAGCGCGTGTCGAGTACTTTTTCTTTTGTTTTTAGTCAGCCAATTCCAAGTAACAAGACATTATCTATCCTTGAACGCAGCGATCACTACCTTCATGGGTTGCCCGAGGCAACTGTGTGTTGGCTGGACTTCAACAAAACACATTGAGCTTGTCTTAAAGAATAGCGTTTCCTTAATCAGCCAAACAAATCAACAGTTTGTTTGACAATCCATGATGAGTGTTCACAATTTGACACTGAACACTTGTCACATGTTCAGCTGAAACCGGCCTGCGACAATGTTTATGACTGATTTATTCAACTTCATCGACTGCTTGAACGGCCCTTGAGCGTTGTACCCTAGCCGAATGAGGCTTTGTGCAGGGTTCATAACCCGTTGCCAAATTCAGCTTAACCGTGCTATGTTAGCTGAACGATGTACACGTTAAATATATCCATTACAGTCAATGGGCGAGGGATACACTCCCTACCAAGTCAAATTATCAAATGTGGTACATGAAAACAGTTGATTGGTGATTGTAGAGCGCATCCCTTTTCCACTGAGCGTGTGAAATACGGTTAACCAATGAGGAACTCACGTACACACAACACTCCCCTCATTTTTCCGAGAAACTTTCTTGACCGTGAGCTAGGGTCGGACGGATAGGCCTATTTGAACATGCCCCATAGTCCCAAATTTCATTCTGGGTGTGGCTGAAAGTCTCTGCTTTGTCCAGCGCGGCTACAAGCTTTCCACGCCTATTGGTTGCAGTTGTGAATACAGATCAGCAATATATCGATCCATCCGTTACATGCTCTGCTTTTGGTGTACGCGTCTATGCACGGCCCCGTGAGCACGCTTCTTCTTGTTCCACTGTGCCTAAAATAGCCATCTGAGAAACACTCCTTATTCATGACCGACGATTGAATATTACTCAGTCGCACTGAGAGAATGCAAGCCGACCGGTCCTATTTATTCCTCTTCTTTCATGAAAGTGGCCATTGGGTACCTAACTCATAAGGATTTGAAAACCCTTCTACAGCCCACGCCCCGTTTCACGTTCCTAGAACTCATCAGGCAGGCTCAGTCTGCGAGTTCCCGTCAACCTTACCTTCTACTTGATCGTCGGCTGCTAAGAAGTTTTCAGTAACCTTATCAGTGGTGTGTCGCCGCCAGACAAAAGCGTGTTGAGACATCACTAATATTGTATCAAACGAAGCATGAGGCAGCCTAGTACATCACACTCAGTTGAAGCAAACCGTCATTAACGAGAGATTCAGCTGCATTCAACTAAGTCTCCTGTTAAGACGGAATTCGTGTGCGAATGAGAGTATTTCTTGAGTTCTACTAATCTAACCCGTCGTGGGCTGTCGAAAAGTTTTCAGCAACCTTGTAAGTAGTTTCCTTGATGAAAATTCTACTAATCTACTTTTATGTATTCTTGGATTCGGTTGGCGGTAGATAACAAACGCGCTACTTTTGCTGTGTTTGTGGTCAGTGCATTCACTGTAACCCCACCCCGGGTTGACACAGTTGTTTCCTTTGAGTTCTATTAATGTCAGGCCCGAGAAGGTCGAACTGGCAAAAAAACACCACCTGTTTCTTGTAGCCCATCCATCCGCTCCGCGAATTGTAGGATTCTCACGCTTCTACTGGTTGTGGAACGTACGGCAAGGGACATGTAGTGCCTTTACCGGATGGACCATTGGCCCATACCATTTGTGAACCATACCAACATCTGATTTGTGTGAAAAATGACGGGGGCGGGGCGTTCCGAACTGTTTCAACGGCGAATAAGTGAGGAGCTGTATGTTTGACCGGCAGGTTATTGTCTGATCTCAGTGGTCTTCTTTGTTTAGCCTTTTCACTAGCAAGTGTTGCGCTCCTATAAAACTGGCTTTGCTTTGAGTAACTGATGGAGCGCCGCACGCGTAAACCCACTATCTGTATAGCAAGCGCAACCGTTGGTGGAAAATATTTGTTTGAGTAAAATCATGTGACTTTGTATACACTACGATAGTGGGAGGTTATAAAGGCCAGAATCTAGTGTTCATTTAATCAAAGTTGATGGTGAGGGCTGGGATACTGCCAGGTTGCTCAAACCTAGACACAGAAAGTCGAGATGCAGAGGTCCAGTACCAACCACGGACCTTTCGATCAGTAAATTCGCCCTCTGAGCCATCTCGCAACCGAAGTTATCTTTAGTTTGCGACATGTGACAGATTCGAAAACATCCAGATTTCGTTATCTTGATTCACAAGGAGGCGAACAGTTGTCAGCTTTTCAGTACCTATTGACTGTAGGAATTCAAACAAGAGTGAAACGTGAAACGCACGAATTCGGATGGGGTTCCAGGCAGGGTGTGTAGTATACGGTGTCTGTCAGTTTGATTGATTTGTATGTAAGTACTGGTGATGTACAACCTTGCTTACTGGGCTTTGGCTCACGGGCTTTGTTTCTGTTTTCCATCCACAGAAATTGTCGTGAACACCTGCCTTCGGAGAATCACTGTCCCCTGGTGCTCCCATAGCGTGCATATTACAGGGTGCATCATAGGAGGTGGCAGACAACTTTTGGTCGTTGGAACTGCTTGTCTAGCCTGTCGGCCTTCTGCGGAGGGGTTCTTTCGTGTTCTTGTACTGATTTGAAACTGTTGTTGTCACCGATTAAGAGGACCAGAGACAGCTCGTTGTGAAATGAGGTTGCTTTGGAAAAAACGAACACCATTGACCAGAAGGTGAACTGGAAACCAATAATCTCACATGACACTATTCATAAGGTCCGCTGAGTGGGAACAGTTGTACGGATGTCGTTTCAAGTAAAACCTGAGGACAGACAATCGGCTGAAGGATACCAAAAATAGGACGTTCAGTCGAGCCTTCTGCTAGTACCAGGTCATTTTGCAACTCAGTGTTCATCTTGGCGGAAGCTGTTACCATTTCAGTAGCAGGCTTGCTGTCCAGTATACCTGGATGATCGAATGAAATTCTGAATCGAAGTACGGAGTGCCACTCTTCCAGTGGACTCTTCTTCACAGAACACATATATGTCTATTCTGTCTATTTTAAATCTCTTTGTAACCTCGAATTGACGGTTTTTCGGAATGCAAATGGAATAAATTAGATCAAATATGTTACGGATTGGTAAAACAGTACAAGTGCAGTAGTACAGCGTAATTTTTCTGAGAATGCTGTCAATTTTCTTGTAAATTCGTTCTCCATTTGAATAAGTTAATCAATACTAAGGGTAAAAACGGTGCGAAACCGGTCGTGGGCTGTGGAAGATGTCTTAGCAAACATATGAGCAGATTGTTCCGTCTGGAAAATGTACTGCGATATGCCGAACATCATCTCAATCGAAACATGAGGTGGTCTTCGTGCGGCGCCTTCAATTGAAAAATATTATGGACAATAGTTTCAGCTAGGAGTTGGCTGAAACTCCGGTATTTCGTGGATTGCATTCCGGTAGAATATAAGGTTAACTGAAATGTGGGGGCTGTACCCAACTGATGAACGTCAGCAAGACTGAAACCGGTCTTTCGCTGTCAAAGAGATCCAAGTAACGAATACACACTCATTTGCGACTAATTTGGGCTTTTTGAGAGACTCACCTGGAACCCAGCTGAACCTCTCGTTTGTGATGTTTTCAGGAAACATCTGGAAACATTACAAACGAGGGGTTCAGCTGGGTTCCAGATGAGTCCCTTGAAAAACCAAATCAGTTATTAAATGAGTGTATATTCGCTCATTCCGTGCAATTTGGTTTCACGTAGAACATGAGGTTGACGGAAGCCCGGAGGCTGCATCTACCTGATGAGCCCCAAAAAAGGGCGAAACCGGTCGTGGGCTGTCGACGGATTTTCAGCAACCTTATGAGTAGCACATTACAGGCCTCAGTAACCTTATGTCTGGTGTGTTCCTTCTGGACAACCACAGAACCTTTCGTGTTCCTAATCTTCGAACGTATACATTTTGTACTAATCCAGTTGATCGACGCTCTCAGGGTAGGTAACTTTCTAGTGATTCCTATGGAATTTCTCTAGAAAATGTGAAAAGTGTATTGGTTTACACTTCCAGAAGAAGCTTTGCTGATCACCTGCCGACGATCACCGTTCCTGATCATCAATTTCAGTTCTTTACCAGGGGATCGGAATCGGGTTAGACAAGTTGTGAATGAGTGATAGGCATTTTACCGGGGGTGGAGCTAGCGGTGCACATGAAGTGCTGACGAGCTACTCGTAAACAAACGGCTGATATAATCTGTCACTCACCCGTATTGTTCTTTTTCCACGGCATTCCCATAGTAATAACATCTCCACTGGTTATGATAGCGTTGATATTCGTTCTGCTTCATGAACTCCGATCGTTTGTGGATGTAGTGACTCGCATCGCTAGTTTCTTGGGAACAGGCTTTCGGTTTCACATGGGCAAAGTTATACGGGTCTACACGAGGCGGAGCACAAGGCTTGTAGTCGACCGGTGGTGGAAACACCTCGTAGACACTACGAGGTTTGATGCTGACGACAGCTTGGTTTCGCAAAGGCTGAAGTGCTGGACGCTTGTGTCGAACCCGTTGCATGATCGCACCGATATATCCATCTCGAACCCAACGTGGGCCGTTTTGTAACAAGCACTCGGGCTTTTGGATCATTGGGAAAGCCATCGTTTCTATCCGCACTTTGTGTATTCCATTTAGAACGTGGTGAGTGAGAACCTAGCACATACGCAGTAAGGACGGATTTTATGGCTGCTTTTACTGAGTAGATCACTAATAAGTTGACCTCGAATTCAAACTTCATTCGCTGACGGCTAATGCTAAACGATAGTCCCGTGACTGAGATAGACATATTGTGTGCTCGTTTGTACTTTATCATTCAAGCCACGTGAGGTGTTCTTTTTTGGATTAGTGGACCCCGAACAGTTCAAACTGTGTGGTTCTTTGTCAGACGATGATAGAAACGCGTAAGTTTCCCTCACATCAATTAATCGTGATGATTCCACTCCGAAGGGTAATGGGTACTGGATTCTAATTGCAAACTGTTTTAAACCAACCACGGATGTATATTTTCGTTGCTCCGACTTCGAACTTCAGTCATTCGATGTGCGAAATTGCCATGCCATAAATACTTTTTCCCGCCTCGAATTTTGGAAATCTAGACTGCAACACACTACTGATTAGTTCTAACGTGAGCTCAGTCTGAGTCCTGTCAACCTTTGCTTCAAAATTGGTTCTACATCACTTGGTCGTCAATCTGTCCACCAAGCTTGGCAGGCTGTGCTGCTGGTTTGAAAAAAAACCGAGACAAATTAGGTATACAAGCGGAGAGACTGTAACATGACTGCCATTCAAATACCTTCATCCAATTTTTTCGTGCATAGAAATTCTGCCTGTTATTTTCGACATCGATTCGTGTATGGTAGGTATATCCTAACAGGAAATGACACGAACTAAATGTCGCTACGTCTAAACGATTTATGTGTGATAGGTATGCCCTTGCTTTGATGCAGATCAGGTGCGTGTAGATAGGTTCACCCAGGCGCGCACTGGTGATGTCTCCACGGTCGATGGTGAACCGCCTGCGAAGCTCGTAAAACGAATCAACAGCTCGGGCTACCAGTATTTTGATATATTACGATGCTATTGTTGCTATGGACAGGATGAACTGAAGATCCGAACATTGTGTTGAGCTGTTTCTGTGATAGGAATCAAACAGATTATTTGACAAAACAAACGCCAGGCCCATGTGAACGGGTTTTTTGAAGAATACAAACAAAGCCTCTGTGCTTACCACAAAAGAGATCCCTCCGACATCTAAGTCACAGCAGTAAGATATCTCCATTGTCGTGCATCAAAAACCAATAATTCAATATGGTAACGATAGCCATACGTTCTGAACGCGACTGTTGTCCCGGTTACATCAGAACACCTTCATTTATACTGTTCCACCAGAGATGGAAAGCTGTTGTCTTATTCATCTGCTCCGCAGTTTCAGAGACTTGATTCCCGGAACAAAACCGTTCGATGCAGGTAATGCGTCCAGATAAGAAGGGCACTGGCTAAAACGTTTTGCGAGTTATGCCAGAGAATCTAGCAAAGTGATAGTGTTGTACTGCCCTAATCTATTTCCTTACGTGGTCTCTACGATGTCATGAAATATCGCGCAGTGTGGTCCCCCAAAGAATCTCATCCAGAAGCAAAACTACTGACTGACCTAACAAAGGTCCCATCAGAGTTTAAGGATGTTATCCTAAAGGTCTATTCAGTAAAGCCATTCACAATAAACATGTCATTCTTAGGATGACAGAACATCCAGGTTGTATCAATCAGACATATATCGGTTTCACTTGGTTACCTTCATCAGTTGGACCGGTCACCAGCAAATGTGTCTAAATATTGGTAGCTCTGGCAGATCAAGTGGCTATCGATCAGATGAAAGTCCATTTATTCCTCGAGGCTTGCGTTTGGCGTGAAAGTGTCTCGTCACCATGCAAGAGGATACGGTCAGTGCACATTTGGTTGCACTTTTTAAACTTGAAGTGCGGAGTGGACTATCCGGTTTCTTGCCGAATGTAGTATGGGGGTTTTTGAAGAGAGGTCTGCATTCAACGATTTGAACGATTCATTCTGTAGGTTCAGCAGAATCGCGGAAACAACGCAGTTTCACTTCTGTCCGCAGCCGAATGTAACACGAGGGCTGGGATACTGCCACGTTGCCCAAGCCTAAACGGGGGAAGTCGAGAAGCAAAGGTCGGGTTTGAGCCACGGACCTTCCGGTCAGTGGGTTTGCACTGTAACCACTGGGCCAGCTCACCCCGATCCGAATCTACACAAGTTCC